GAAAAATCCCCCAAAAGTGGGATCATTTTCAGACAATGTCAAGGGTATTGAGCATTGATGCAACATTAATCCACACAGAAAGTGGAGAAAAGCAGCTGATTTTCTCCACTTTCTGTGCGGGTTAATGTTGCATTAATGCTCAATGCCCCCAATGAGTTTGAAAACAATCCCGCCTTTGCGGGATTTTTCCGGGATTTAAATCCCATTTCTGCACAAGATTTGGCCGCTTAAACTCCCATGTGATCCATCTCAACTTTGCAGTCCACACTTTCTGCAGCTGCTGACAAAGCATAGTAGAATTCCAGTTTTTAAACAGTAGATTTAATATGTATCCATGCTATAAAACTAAAACAGTTTGTTACCACTTTCTTTTCAAGAAAATTCTAGTGTTCAACTACAGAGGAATGAACTAGAGCTCTCTAGCAGATAATGATCTGGGACTCACCAAACAACCAAACCTAGGATTGTGTAGGGTAGAGTCAGAATAATTCAGTGGTTCTCAAACTTTGCTCATCTAAGTATTTTGGACTTCAACTCCCAGAATCTCCAGACAGTATGGCCAATGGTTAGCAATTCTGGGAGCTGAAGTCCAAAATCTGAATGACAGAAAACACAGAACCACTGGTGCAGTCTTTGTATTGGTTCAATAGGATGACTTGATAGAAAAGAGTGTTAGGCTCTTTACTAAAAGAAACTTATATTATTAAAATTTTGCTCGAATCCTCTCTTTTACATAACTATGAACAGTACAGGAGTCATACCCTTTTTTACATTTGGTCACCTTAGGTTTAAAGTGGGTTTTGTTTCCCTCGGCCCCGTGTTACTAAAATCTGCCTTTTAGTATCAGCAATCATTTCCTCTTCCTGTTGCACACCAGCCCTGCGGTTAGTCTTTCTTTTTTGCAGAGGGGGAGTAGTGCCTTGCTCCTGTATTTTCTTTTTCATTAATACAATTGCACTACAATAAAAAAAAGTTTAAAATATGAAATAAATCAGCAGTTGCTCTGGCTACCAATAGGATCTAAAGGTATATGAGCAGAGCTGTCACACTTTTCTGTGTCCATACATTTTTCTGTGTCGTTAGCTTACATTTTTTACAAAAACCAATAAGTCAGTGTAAAAAATGAAGGCTAACGACATAGAAAAATGGGACATCACCAACTGCTTTATGGATTCTCATCTTATCTGATGACTCAGAGACCTGCCACCCTGCAGAAATCAAGCAGTTTGACACCACTTTAAATGTCAGTGCTCCATCTTGTGGTATCCTGGGATTTGTAGTTTGGTGAAGTGTTCAACCTGGTCTGTCAAAGCTCTGGCGCCTCACCAGACTGCAAATGCTGGGATTCTGTAGGATAGAGTAATGGCAATTAAAGTAGTGTCAAAATGCTTGATTTCTGCCACGTGGATACACCTTTAATAATTCTTTGATAGTTGATATGGAGTAGGATGATACAATAGTTCCATTCTAAGGACGTTATCACACGGGGGGCAAATCTGCTGGTTAATCCACACA